GTATATTGGTATAAAGTTGGCGTCGTCGTCGTCCGAAGACAAATTAGTTTTCGCACTCTAACTTTAGTTTAAGTGAATGGATCTCTATGAAATTTTACCATAAGGTTCAATACCACAAAAGGAAGGTTGGGATTGATTTTGGGGGTTATGGTACCAACAGTTAAGGAATTAGGGGCCAAAAGTAAGCATTTTTTTAACTTCCAGACATAACTTGTGTGTTAGTGTATGGATCTCTCTGACATTGTACCACAAGGTTCCATATCACAAAGGGAAATTCGAATGCTTGGATTTATTTTGGGGGTAATTGCCTCAAAATTTTAGGAATTAGGGGCTAAAAAAGGGGCAAAAACAAGCATTTTTCTAGTTTCATGACAATAACTTGTGTGTAAGTCTATGGATCTTTCTGAAATTGTACAAGGTTCCATATCACAAAGGGAAAGCTGGAATTGAGTTTGGGGGTAATTGCCCAAAACGTTTAGGAATAAGGGGCCAAAAAGGGGCCAAAAATAAGCATTTTTTCTAGTTTCCAGACAATAACTTGTGGTCAAGTGTATGGATCTCTCTGAAATTGTACTGCAAGGTTCCATATCATAAAGGGAATGTTTGGATTGATTTTGGGGGTAATTGCCTCAATATTTTAGGAATGAGGGGCCAAAAAAGGGCAAAAAACAAGCATTTTTCTAGTTTCGTGACAATAACTTGTGTGTAAGTCTATGTATCTTTCTGAAATTGTACTACTAGGTTCCATATCACAAAGGGAAAGCTGGAATTGAGTTTGGGGGTAATTGCCCAAAAGTTAAAGAATAAGTGGCCAAAAAGGGGCAAAAAATAAGCATTTTTCTAGTTTCCAGACAATAACTTGTGTTCAAGTGTATGGATCTCTCTGAAATTATACTGCAAGGTACCATACCACAAAGGGAAGGCTGGGATTGATTTTGGGGGTAATTGCCTCAAAATTTGAGGAATTAGGGGCCAAAAAGGGGCAAAAAACAAGCATTTTTGTCGAGCCTAGCTCGACATAGGGATAGTGATTTGTCGAGCCTGCGACTTTTGTCGCAGAAAGCTCGACATAGGGATAGTGATCCGGCGGCGGCGGTGGCTACGACTGCAGCAGCGGCGTTAGCTTACTTCTTAAAAGCATTATATTTTGCTGAAGGTCTGGATGCTTCATACTTTGTATATGGATGCCTCATGTTACGAAGTTTCCGTTAGTCACATGTCCAATGTCCTTGACCTCATTTTCATGGTTCAGTGACTACTTGAAAAAAAAGTTAACATTTTTTGTCATGTTAAATTCTCTCTTATTATAAGTAATAGGATAACTATATTTGGTATGTGCGTACCTTGCAAGGTCCTCATGCCTGTCAGACAGTTTTCACTTGACCTCAACCTCATTTCATGGATCAGTGAACAAGGTTAAGTTTTGGTGGTCAAGTCCATATCTCAGATACTATCAGCAATAGGTCTAGTATATTCGGTGTATGGAAGGACTGTAAGGTGTACATGTCCAACTGGCAGGTGTCATCTGACCTTGACCTCATTTTCATGGTTCAGTGGCTATAGTACAGTTTTTGTGTTTTGGTCTGTTTTTCTTATATTGTATGCAATAGGTCTACTATATTTGGTGTATGGATTGATTGTAAGGTGTACATGTCTAGCTGGCAGGTGTCATCTGACCTTGACCTCATTTTCATGGTTCAGTGGTCAAAGTTATGTTTTTGAGTTTTGTTTTTTTTTCTAATACTATATGCAATAGTTCAACTATATTTGGTGTATGGAAATATTTTATGATCTATTTGTCAGTCATGCAGGTTTTTTTTTTACCTTGACCTCATTTTCAAGGTTCATTGCTCAGTGTTAAGTTTTTGTGTTTTGGTCTGTTTTTCTTAAACTATAAGCAATAGATCAACTATATTTGTTGTATGGAAGAATTGTTAGCTGTACATGCCTGCCTAGCATGGTTCATCTGACCTTGGCCTCATTTTCATGGTTCATTGGTCAATGTTTAGTTTACTTGGTTAATGTTAAGTTTATGTGACAGTTGTAATAAAGCTATATTTATGACTATCAACATAATATCAATGATTAGTAAAGAAGGCGAGACATTTCAGCGTGTGCACTCTTGTTCTAGTTTAAGGACAATAACTTGTGTGTAAGTGAATGGATCTTTATGAAATTGTACTACAAGGTTCTATATCACAAAGGGAAAGCTGGGTCTGAATTTGGGGGTAATTGCCCTAAATGTTATGGAATATGGGGCCAAAAAGGGGCCAAAAAACAAGCATTTTTCTAGTTTCCAGACAATAACTTGTGTTCAAGTGTATGGATCTCTATGAAATTATACTGCAAGGTACCATACCACAAAGGGTAGGCTGGGATTGAGTTTGGGGGTGATGAATCATAAGGGGGTTCACAAAATTGGGGGGGGGGGATTTTTTTTTCCTTTTTTTTTCTTTAAAATTTTCCATTTTAAATTGGTTATTTCTGATTTATATATAAAAGCAAATAATAATGATATGGTTTGAATAGGTAAATTAAAAAATTTTAAGTTCTTAGACCACATTCATTCTGTGTCAGAAACCTATGCTGTGTCAAATATTTAATCACAATCCAAATTCAGTGCTGTATCAAGCTTGAATGTTGTGTCCATACTTGCCCCAACTGTTCAGGGTTCGACCTCTGCGGTCGTATCAAGCTGCGCCCAGCAGAGCATTTTATTTTGAATTTTTTCTTGAGTTACATAATGGAAGGGCAGAAACAAAAATCTAGGAACAAAAAGATTGATATGTTCTCCGTCCGTGGTAAAAAAAAAATAAAAATCGGAGGTTATGCATTTTTTAGATCCAACTGAATAGACACCCATGTCGTCAACTTGATATCTAATTGTTCTGCTTAATTATGTAATAGATAAATTGAAAACTTATGCAAATTGTGTTTTTATGATAAAATACTTCGTAATTTAGCCGAAAACTGTCATTTTATTTGTTTCTATTAACTTTTAAAAATTTTGTTACTATAGTAAACATTACAGTAAGCATTTATCGCCTTCTCTAACAAAGAGCTTCGATTCTTTTGTTCTATTTCAACTGGGTTTCCGCCTGATATGTCTGTGCAACTGTTACTATAAAATGTGGGAGATACATCGTATAATATGCACACTATTAATATATATATACAAGTAGTAACCCAGGTATCAGTTATATAAAGATAGTTTGAATACATATACATAATGATGATACAATGTGCAGATACATGAAATATGTTTTATAAAGTATGTAAGTAATGAAGAATATAAACATATTAAAAAAGACAGACACAATATTTGTATGAAATTTGATGTAAATGTAATAGGTTGGACACTTAGAAGTACAATAATCATGTAAAAGAAAATGAAAAGCATTTCTAGCCCAACAATATAATCATATTGTGTAATATGATATATGCATGATAAACAATAAAATTACACCACCTCACATTGTTCCCAGTATTATTGAATCAGTTTTTGTAAGGATTGACACCTGCTGATCTGACTAAAAATGCTAATGTGGCATATGAAAACTCTTAGTACATATGGAAACTAAACTATACACCACTGTATAAAACCTTAATTCTGACGACATTATTGCTGCATAAGTTAAATTCATTCATCAGGGTATTGAGAAGTTGATAGAAATAAGCATCTGTATGTCACATACGGCCTGTAACAATGAGCAAAACTCATACCACATAGAATGAAGCTGTCAATTGCCTTGAAATGACAAATGTAAAACAATTCCAACAAGCAAACCAACATCCCGATTTATGTACAAATCAATAATGAAAAACAAATATGATATACAGCAACAAATGACAACCACTGAATGACTTCGGACAGACACACACGTAAGCTGGCAGGGTTAAACATGTTTACTGGCGCCAACCCCCCCTCCCCCCCTTTTACCTGGGACAGTGTACATACATCTTCACAGACTTTCAATCATCGAAAGGATACATATTTTAAAGTAATTTAAAAATGAATAATAAACGTTTGAAAACAAATGTTATATTGTTAGAGAAAAATGTGTAGGATAGTGAAAATCAGTACAGCACATGACAAAAAACAAATCTGAAAAATGAGATAAAACAAGCTATGACAATTTAAGCAACACTGCCACAGTTTTCATCATATTTTTGATTAACTGCCTATAGCGCTTACAGTGCTTTGATTGTTATTAGAAACTTCATTTGTCAAAAAAAAAATCTAAGCAAGTCAAAAGACCTGAAACTAAATTAAGTTGTCTGAAGAGAAAAGGATATACATTCTTGAATTATTTTTTCTGCTAAATAAAACTAAGATATTACAGAGAAACATGTATAACTCAAACCCTGTGTTTATTGAAAACCTGTCTAAACTTGGAATCTGTTATCAAATTATAGAGGGACTTTACCGATCCATGCTATATAATGGAACACATGTCTCATAAAAACATCAAAATCTTAACTTTTTAAGTCCCCAAGTGTAGACAGGTTGCATGTTGTCGCCCTCTGGAGATAAACAGAGAAGGTACCAATCAGGCAATCAAAAACATAACTTAAGGTTAAAAAAGACATCACCATAATCAAAAGACAGACAGACAAACTACACTACACAAAACACTATACTAAACTTTGAATAGAACAAACCCAAGCAAAAACTTGCAGTAAACACAGGTGATCTGAAAGGGTAAGCAGATCATGCACACTAGTTGCAGGCATGGTATTGTACATGGCAAATAGTTGGAAAGTTGCATTCTTCCAACAACAGCCATAGATGAAGGAATCTTAAAAATTGGGACTTTAATTTATTTGTTCAAGGTTTTCTGCCATTGTCCATTTCCCTGTATTCGTATGTACATGTACTACAATTTACAAGAACCAGTATATTTTTGCCACCCTATGATGATTCTCAGTTAACCCATTGTTTAATAAAACTATAAAGTTTTCTCAATGAAAGAAATATATCAATATGACATGGCTTCCAGAAAAAAAGAAAAGAAGAAAAAACTGTTAGTTATGAAACCAGAAGAAGAAGAAGTTAAACCAGAAAAACCAACTAAAAAGAAGAAAAAGGAGAAAATCCAGCATGATGAAGTGTCGAGTACCACTGCTAGAGTCACCTTTGATATGTCTGCACACATAAAAAATTACAAACCTAGGCAGTACTTAGTGGTAAAATCTGGACAAAACTGGATTGATATTCAGGTATGTAAATTACAGTTGATACCTGCTCAAATAAAAGCATGTCTGTTTTTGCTTTCTCATGATGCTTACCCCGCATCTCTTTTTGTTCATACATGTACCCATAGCAAATCATTACTAATAATTACTGCCCTTCTTATGTAAGTGTCAACCAATTTTGTTGTGCAAGTGTTATATTTTTAAGAGATATTTTATAATTTTTTAGATGTTAAGACCAAAATTACTTAAATATAAGGCAAAGGTTAGTAAGCTGTTTCATCTGAGCAATACTGAAATATTTGCCTAAGAATCACGCAGTGGTGAAAACATGACAAATAAAAACCCGCTTACTTTGCATTATTTAAAGATCAGAATGTATAATAGTGCTAAGAATATAACATTCGTTTCCTTTTCCGGTTCTGTTATTTCAAGATATAATTTGGTTGAAAATGCTCTAGAAATTAACGATTAAGGAGAGATATCTCCATAATTTGATATCATTCTAACCAAAAGTTATTTTGATATTTCTCGAATTACTAGACACACAGAAACAAAAGACCTACCATTGCTTACTCAGGATATGGGTAACTTCAAAATAGGATGTTAAGGTCGGCGGGTTTTGAAATTCTCCTAAATTGCCTGAATCTTACAAAGACTGGCACTTAAAACAAGAAAAAGTAAATAACTGTATGATTTCGAGTAGGAAGAGCACCTTGAATTACCATTGATAGATAAAGCATTGAATTGCTTCATAGCCTTGTTAATAAAGGTCACAAAATTAATCTTTCATTCTCTGTTAACAGTTTTGATGAACAATTGGACCCCTAGAAGCTTAAAATTCAAACCAACATTTAAATCAAATTAAACTTTTGATTGTTCCAAACAGACCTCATGAAAAGGATGATGTGATTGGAAACTTTTATAGTAGTTGGTGGGGAGAATCCTAAGGAAAAGATTTGATAAATAATGCCAGTTTAAATTATTAATACAATTTAAACTTATGGTTACAGGCACCTGAGGATAAAGTTATGATGAAACAAGACCATAGTCGAGAGTTAGAACAACAGATGGAGAACTTTGCTTCCAAGTTATTACAAGATGAAGTAGCAGTTTATAACAAACGTAAGTATTTACAGTAAATCCTAGCTTTCAAATTAGTACCATGATTAAAGGCTATGTATTTTACCAAATCGTTTTAATTTTGTTAATTTTCTCATTTTACGGATTTTACTGTGAAGTCATTGCTGTGTAGCTTAGGAAGTTATTGAATTATTAACAAAATATACATGTTTTATTGAAGTACATGAATTAAAAATTTAATCCTGCAATTTCAAGAAATTTTCAAATACACGTTGATTTTAGAACCACTATGGTCCCAAAAAGTCTTTTTGTGAAAACAATATATGTATACATTATAAATGGTTCCTAAGGTACCTTATAAGCTGAATAATTCTTCAATAATTTGATTCATTTGTATGTTGATTATATTTTAAATTAAATTAAGATGTTACTGAAAAATTAAGCTTTAATTTTAAAAGAAGAAATCAGGACTTTCGGTCTTAAAACTTTAGAGTACAATTACGGTACTCAGACTCAGAAATCAACCAATCAAAATACTGGATTTGGTGTTTCGAGCAGACATTTTGTACTCTTGAGTACTGAGTTCAGTTTTATGACGGAGAGCCTAGGTATTCTGATATATAGCAAATAACCACTTAAATATTTTCTTCATAGAGAGATCTCCAAATTTGAAGATTTAAAAAGTTAACACATTTGATTAATGAATTAATGAAATTAAAACTTTATAATTTAGTGCGTCCTAATCGTTTTTTCTATATTATCTTTCATCAAGAACGCTGAAACCTAAACCTTTGAAAGCAAGGGATACATAGGATAAGAATCTATATGACCAAAAAGGACCCAAACAGATTTATCAAAGTATTAATATGAATAATAGTTTGAAGTTATCATTTTGTCTTGTAGAACGGGAAGCCAGTAAAAAGTCAGATGTAGGATGGATTAAAACAGTTTTGTCATCTGGAACTCTGGGAGATAAAATAGCAGCTCTTACATTGTTGGTTCAGGAGTCACCTATACAGAATTTGACAAGTTTAGAATCATTGATAAACATGACAAAGAAAAAAGGAAAGAGAGAATGCATGATGGCTGCAGGTATTAAACTTTCTCCATCACAAAAAATTTCCTTTACAGAGGTGATTAAGAATTGAATAATTTTTAATTTTTATGTTGTTTTTTTTATGCCTCTGCCATTCAGTAACCTTGGCATATAAGATTAACCTTGTTTGGCAGTTTGTCCTTTCCAAAAACAATACATGATGGCCAAACTGGTTTTATGCCAGTAGATATTGAGATATCTTCACTCTTCAGTTATTCATAAGAATTTTGCAAGTGATATCTCTTTTCTTTTCTTTTTTTCAGAAATGATGAATAAATAAGGGGAATACATTATGAGTTCAATGTTGCATGGCTTCAATATAAATGCAAAGACACTGTCTCGAGTGAAAAGTGCAAAGGGATAATTTATTAACATATTCAAGGACTTTTCAGTTAAAATTCAATTATAACTAAATTCTGATTAAAGAGGAAATATGCTATAAATTTCTGTTTCTAAATAAATTCTATGAAGTAAGTGGCATAAATTTTTGAGTAAGGAACCTGATTTGCCAATTTGAGAGTGGATATAATAAAATGAGATGTGGGGTTTACATCATTGACATGGTAATCTGTTGAAGTTTTTATTCAATTCTTTGTTGAATTGCTGTCACATTGACATTTACTCATTTATCATCTTTAATTCATATTTAAGTTAATATATTGATATCAACTTTAAACTACTGAAAAGTAACTTTAAGTTTATTCTTCTTTATACTGGAGATGTGAGCTCTGCATTCTTTTCTTTATTTTTCAGATACCACAAAAGAGCTGTTTATTACATATCTGCTACCAAACGATAGGAAGTTACATACATTTGATCAGGTAATAGATGTATAATGATAGATGAAATAAAAAAGAGGTGTTTGGTTCACTTTTGCTACACATATGTTGAATTGAGCTGAGTTTTATGTCCTTTAATTAGGGGATTTTCAGAATCTTTATTTCATTATTCATTATCTATAATTGTTCTATAAACCTGAGACTAAATCCCTACAGTTTTCTGTAAAGAATTGCTAATACTATTCCTCGACACTTAATTTATTTTTTCCTAAAACTTTATGTCATCATGTACGTTAATTGTGTAGTTAAAGATACTGACAAGAAAACATGCTCGTTCAGATAGAATAAAGATTGGTGTGATTTCTATTTAATAGAATGTCCTTTTGGCAGAAAAGATTTGTATATCAATTTGATCTTATTGAAATAAGCTTATTTTAGCAGGGAAAGTATGCTAGATGTTCAATTTACGGCAGTACTAGCATTATTGAATTATTAATGTACTTGTTATTACCAGTTTTGCACCACTTTCTAAATTTACCTAAGAGTTAGTGAATACAGTATAAAACAAAATTAACAATTCAACGAAATGATCAGAATTACATATTTCAATATACACTTCTATTTCAGAATCCATTATCCAGTTTAGGAGAACTGTCAGGCGGAAACAAAGACACCATAGACAAATACTTGTTGGTGTGGTACTTTGAAGCCAAACTTAAAGAGCATTATGCTAAATTTGTCAATGCAATAGAGGTAATTGTGAACATAAAGTATTAAAGCCTAATGAACGTCTACCTCCGTCATATTATATGACTTAGTGCACAGATACATGTATATATATTTCATTTGATTCTTTTTTGTTCACAAGAACATGTGATATCCAGTTGTAATGGACAAATGGTGATAAAATATTGATAAACCACTACTGTAAATTTATACAGGTAGAATAATCAAACTACCGCTGTAATACTACTTACTTTAAACAGACTTTTTTTGTAAATTGAAACCCATTATGTTGTTCTTATTAAGATCTAAACCAAACTAGTAGCTGGTGATTATTTTGATTGTCATAGGACAAATTCAAAAATGTTGCAATCAAACAGGCTTTTCTAAGACCTTCTAAAAAATTACAGCCATTTTTATTCTGGAACATTTAAAAGGATTATAATACAAGTTACAGGTATTGGATTGATATAAATGAGAAAGCAACTTAAACGGTACCCCCTTATTAGAATTTTATATAAAAATTATGAATGGGGGTTAGAAGTCCTTCGATACCATACAGGAAATGCTTCTGATAGTCACAATGTTTTGGGGAGAAAGAAACAAACAATCACACAGATATTTTATACATATTTCTATTTTTAAAGTCAATAAACATAAAATTTGCATTCTCTTTCATTTCTTCTTTCAGTTGATGTCACATGATACACTATTACCAACAAAGCAAAAGGCTCTAGGTAGGAAAAACTCTGTTTATATAATAATTCATATACACACATATAATACCAGTTTCAAACTTAACAGCACATGTTCTTGAATAACATGGGGTACATTTAAGATTATGCTGACCATGCAATTACTTCACAACTTATTTTTAGTAGATGTGCATTTTGTTTTTCAGTCTGTGTGTCCATTCGTTTGTCCGTCCGTCTGTCCCGTTTCAGGTTAAAGTTTATGGTCAAGGCAGTTTTTGTTGAAGTTGAAGTCCAATCAACTTGAAGCTTAGTACACATGTTCCCTATTATATGATCTTTCTAATTTTAATGTCTAATTAGAGTTTTGACCCTAATTTCACTTTCCACTGAACATAGAAAATGATAGTGCGAGTGGGGCATCCATGTACTATGGACACATTCTTGTTTGCTCTGCAATTCAGTAAATGTAGTAAACATTTAGCTTGAAATATCTGGAAAATATTCAGATAATTTTCTAACAAGGGATTTAAACTCTCATTGAAATATCTCTGTTTGTTTTTAGTGATAATATTTGACCTGTTGGTAGGAAAACCAGAGCAGGAAAAAGTAAGTATGAAACTTAACAATCTTTGTTTGCCTGGTAATTTGTTAAATGTTAGTACGATAATGTTAAATGTTAGTACAATAATGTTAAATGTTTTGACATAACATAACTTCTATAAACCAAACTTTGATGGAAAATTGTAAGTATATAACATTGTAATTTGAACTATATGGGTCTTCTGTGTTGGTGCTTCTATGTTCTAATGACAAAATTTGTTTTTACAAAAAGCATATGTGAACATAAGAATCTTCTGCATTAGCAGAACTCTTCTTTAAAACTTTATCATGTACACTAAGAGCCAAATTAATGGAAAATAGAAAATGTACAAATACATGAAATCTATATACATGTACAAGCTAAATGGTCCAAAAAAGAATAGCCTAATTCATCACTCATGATTGAAAGAGGGGAGACAATAATTTTTGATAAATATAAAAACTATTAACTGAGAATAACAAATGATTTTTTACTCTTTTCTATTTCAGGTTCTGCTGAACTTGCTAGTAAATAAAGTGGGTGATCCTAATTATAAACTGGCTTCAAAGACTGCATACTTATTAAGGAGATTGGGTAGGTTTAAAAAAATTATTTTAAGTATACAAACTACTACTGTGCGATTTTGGAAATGAAAAAAGGGTAATCAAAAGTATTTTGAACAGTGAAAGTTAGAGATACTGCTCAGACCAAAACTTTATTTAGAATTTATTTTGAGACAGAAAATTCAAAAATTTATAGTTTCTCCTTTAATTTGTACTGAGCAAGTTTAATCATAAATTCATCATATATTTTACATTTTACTTACTGAAATGGCTTGGTCAAATTGTCATATTATTTGATTTTTGTATTGTCTTATATGGTTGAAATGACCACCCCTCCTGTCCTTGTGCATTTACCATGAAGTTAAAATGAGAAAACACACTGTATATATTGCAGTGATTGCAGATTTACATTTGTCTGAAGCAATAGTGTGCAGTGATAGGAATATGCATTTAATATGATATTGATAAAAAAGAATTATATACAAAACTCCTATTTGAATTATTAAATATCTTGTTTGATTAAAAAGATATATATATTTAGAAATTTTCTATTTTTTCAAATGTCAAAATTCAGTATAGGAATTTAATTTAAATATTTTTTGCAATTTTTCAAAAGAATTTGGTTTGTCATTGTTGAAAAAATGTATTTTACCACTGAAGGTTTGGTGACAATCTCAAAAGTTAAAATAAAATATAGTCGTAAATTGTAAACAAACTTCATTTAGTAATATGTGAGTTGTTTAAGAAATAATTCATGGGTGCTTGAATTTATACTGATTTTACCACGGTTTGGCCCTTTATTCAAAATATTTTACCACTAGCTTTTAACAAATTTTATCATCATTTGTTTATGTTTCCTTCTTTTGAGACTTTCAGTATCACAACCGTGCATTTTCCTGTAAAATGCTTATATTCTTACGTCATCGTTCAATGGCGTCATTTACTTCGATTAACGTCGGTTAGCTCATTCATAAAAAAGTATATGATGTGGGAGTATGATCGGAACAGCCCAAACAAATCATGATGTTGCTGATCAGCTGATATACAATATATTTATATTTTACCACGGGTGTGTACTCAAAGTGTTTGAAGAACATCATAATAGAATAAAAAATAACACTAACACATACAAATATTTGTTCTTTTGGAAAATTGCTTAAGAAAATCAAATGTTTAAATACAGATTTTTTTTATCATGGTGATTTTGACAACAACACATTTGTACTATTTAGTGGAGAAACACCCCAACATGAAGAGTGTGGTAGTTGATGAAGTAGAGAGACTGTTGTACAGACCTAATATATCATCAAAGGCACAGTAAGTGATCAAATACTTTATATTGAAATTTCAGGAAAAAATAGTTTTTGTATAATTAGCTTTTACAAATACCCAGATGAAAATCAATTTAAGACAATGACACAAAAACGAAAGGAGTTTCTGGACCAAATTAGTCCTAATAGTGAACATTTTACAAAAATTCTTCAAGTTTTTTAATTAAGTGTTGAATTGTAGTTCAATAAAGCATGACTATCTTTGTTGAAAGCATTCTATTTATTGGTTAAACAGGCATAGCATGAAAATAAGTTCTGTTAAATGAAGAAATTACACAAATGCATCGTAAAAGATATATTACCTGCATCAAATCTATGTACAATCAATCTCATAGCAAAATATTTTTTTTGGGAAAAGTCTTTTTCTTTTGCTTATTAAAAGTGTTGGCTGTTTTTATAGCTTTTCGATTAAATGTGAGAAATTGTATATTAGATGAAATTGAAATAGTACTGATGATATCTGACAGAGTAATGTCTTCTGAACATCAGAAGCATGTTGTTTCATAGATTTATATAACTTTTGATGTTTGAATTGAAGGGGCAAAAAAGAGTAGCCTTTTTATATCTCCTCAAAAAAAGAAGAAATATGTACATTTATCTATATTATCACATTTATAAATAAAATAAAAACTTAAAGGTTTAGTAGTATTATCTTAAATAATGTCTTTTTGTCCAATTAAAAAAGTGAAGTTTTTTTCTTTAAAAGCATCAGGAAAGGGCTCATGTTGCAATATAGCCTTTTCAATCAAACCTATAATAGGACAAATTTTATTACATATTGTTTAATTAAGATCATGAAGCAGTCTTTTTAAAAGTTTAACAAGATTTTGAAATTGTTTAAATGTCTTTATATGAACAGAGAAAGCACAAAGTGGTATTTTATTTTTTATATTTAGGTACTACAGCGTTTGTTTTTTGAATCAGCTAATGTTATCTAAAGAAGACAAACTGTTGGCTGCCAAGCTTGTAACTGTTTATTTCTCATTTTTCAAGGTAAGATATGAAAAGTTTATTGTTGTAACTTGTATTTAGCTGAAGATGTTCAGGAAAACTTTCTTATAAGTTTTTGTCACTGTGCCTGAAAAAAAAAATTGAAGGATACTTATTTTATTTTCTATGTGCTTATCAGCTTTTGGACTCATATGAAGGGAATCATTTAAAAAGGGTGCACAACAATACTTTTATTGTTTAATTTTGTGATAATCTTTATAAAAGACATTACTATTCAATTTAAAAATTTAAAAATTTTATTTAAATTCAACAACTGAATTCCTCAAAAAATATTGAGCAGCCAAAACATGAAATGTCATCTGCTTGGAAGTTTTTAGTCCGTTTTCATTAGATGAGTTGAACTGCACAATGGTATCAAAGTGTTTTGTTGACTTATGATAGGATTTATCTCCCTTAAGTGCAGTTATCACCATTTGATAAGATCATCATGAAATGCTTGTATCATATTATCCTAGTATAAGCCCTTGGTAGCTGCATTTTTTAAATGGGGACGTTGAATGTAGACTATGAAATTTCTTATTTGATAAGTCCTGAAAAAGTGCCAGAAATTGATCTTGTATGGCAAGCCTGGATTAGCTTCCCATGATTACAAATATAAAATTTGGGATCAGGTGAAAGTGTCAACACCCAGCCAGAATCATGACTGACTTTATCCTCATTTGGCTAAACTGTTGTTGAAACTATGCTACTGTTGTTATCTTTTTTTTTGGGGGGTCACTCTGTAAATGTTTGATTTTGTTAGTTGAATTTTATGCTAGTTTCTTCATCTTTATATGTGAAGACAAACTGCACTAATACAATGATTTGTATTTTCAGTCATTTGTAAAGAAGGGGGAAGTAGACAGTAAGATGATGAGTGCATTGCTAACAGGTGTTAATAGATCATATCCTTATGCTGCAGGTAAACTAAAATCTGATATTGTATGCATACTTCATCTTAACTAAAGTCACAAGATAAGATACGAAACAATAGGGGTTGTCAACCACAACTATTAAACTCATTGCCATCTTTTTTGCTTTTAGAAAATGCCTACAATTTATAGTATGGCAGGTCTTAATTGGTCAAATGGTCATAATTTTTTGGTCATCTACCTGTAGGAACAGTTTTATCCTTGCTTCTGTCAATAGTAAAAATGGCAAGTTGCATTGAATCTTTGAGATAACATAAGACTCCAAGACATCTTTCATAATATGTTCATAACTTTATTACTATTATTAATAGAAAACAATAAAAATGATATTTATCATATGCTAATTTATTTTACATTTATTATTAAGAATTAAGCAATTCAGGCATGCTGAACTTAGATATTACCCATTAGTTGTATTTTGATTTTTATTAACAGTTGATCCAGAATATTTAAGTGAACAGTTGCATAACATTTACAAGCTTGTCCATGTGGTCAACTTTAACACCAGTCTGCAGGCTTTAATGTTACTGTATCAAGTTATGGATTCAAGGTGAGTACAATGTTTTCAGTGTGTGGAGAAGACAATTATAAATGCTGTCATTCATAATTATTTGTGGGGTACTAATTTTAAATGGATTTGATGGGTAAAGGTGACCAAATTAATTTTGGGGTTAAGCCAAATGCAAATATCCTAGAAGCTTGCATGAAAAATTTGTTAAACTACAAACTCTACATTTTTTCTTTCCTCATTCCACAAAAATGGTGTTATAGTTATATTTGAAATTTAAGGGGATGCTAGAAAATCAAATTGAGGCATCATCTGTATTTGTTGATGTTACATGCTTACTGTAAACTCAGAAATTGTTGAGATGTTTTTGCAAAAATTCTATGATAAGATTAATTAAAACTTTCACTTTAAAAGAGAGGCGAAAGATATCAAAACTCATAAGTCAAAAACAAACTGACAATGCCATGGCTAAAAACAAAATATGATGTAAAGACAAACAACAGTACAGAAGCTCAGCTTGTTTTTTATGCCCCAGCCGTAGCGGTGGGGGCATTAAGTTTTACCCTTGTCCGTCTGTACGTTCATCCGTCCGTACGTCCCGAAATTGGTTTCCGTTCTCTAACTTCAGTTTGCCTCAACCAAATGTTATGAAACTTATACACAATGCTTATTACCACAAAACACAGATCAAGTTTGAATTTTGGTGGCGTCACTTTAACCGTTCTAGAGTTATGCCCCTTTATAAATGGAAAAATTGCAAAATGTTTAGTTTCCGTTCTCTAACTTAAGATTGCCTCAACCAAATGTTATGAAACTTATACACAATGCTTATAACCACAAAACACAGATCAAGTTTGAATTTTGGTGGCGTCACTTAAACCGTTCTAGAGTTATGCCCCTTTATAAATGGAAAAATTGCAAAATGTTTAGTTTCCGTTCTCTAACTTAGTTTTGCCTCAACCAAATATTATGAAACTTATACACAATGCTTATAACCACAAAACACAGATCAAGTTTGAATTTTGGTGGTGTCACTTAAACCGTTCTAGAGTTATGCCCCTTTATAAATGGAAAAATTGCAAAACTTTTAGTTTCCGTTCTCTAACTTAAGTTTGCCTCAACCAAATGTTATGAAACTTGTACACAATGCTTATTACCACAAAACACAGATCTATTTTGAATTTTGGTGCCGTCACTCTAACCGTTCTAGAGTTATGCCCCTTTATAAATGGAAAAATTGCAAATTTTTTATTTTCTTCTAAATATCAAGTTATTTTTAAAATTGGAGTTATCTTCCTTTGTCCATGATTATAGTTGAATCAGCTACTATCAATGCTTTATATAATGCAATGTTAAATTTTGACTTCCACTGATAAAATACAGATCAAGTTGAATTTGGGTAGTGTCACTTTAACCGTTATTGAGTTATGCCCCTTTATAAATTGAAAGATTGCAAAAATTTTAGTTTCCATTCTGTAACTTTAGTTTGCCCCTTCCTAACATTATGAAACCTATACACAATATTCATTACCACAAAACTAAGATCAAGTACAAATTTTTTGTTTCCGTTTTCTAACTTTAGTTTGCCTCAACCAAATGTTATGAAACTTATACACAATGCTTATTACTACATAATACAGATTAAGTACGAAATTTGGTGGCGACATTTTACCATTCTTGAGTTATGTCCATTTATAAACATAAAAATTGCTGAATTTTTCGTTTCTGTTCTCTAACTTTAGTTTGTCTCAACCAAATTTTATAAAACTTATACACAACCGTTCTAGAGTTATGCGTTTTTACAAATAGAAAAATTGCTGAATTTTTGGTTTCTGTTATCTACTTAAGTTAGCCTCAACCAAATGTTATGAGACTTACACACAATGCTTATTACCACAAAACTCAGATCAAATTCAAATTTGGGTAGCGTCACTTTTACTGTTCTTCAGTTATGTCCCTTTATAACTATATGATATGCAAGCAGGGGCATCATCTGTGTCCACATGGGGACACTATCCACATTTATTTTTTAAAGTCTTTGGTTTTGCTCTGTCATGGGTTTGGACTCCATGTTTAGTTTTATTGTGTTTTTGTGTTTTTGCCTTATTGATGTATTCCCTAGTTTTTTTTTTATTCGTGTAATATGTTAATAATGATATTTTTCAGTGAAACAGTATCTGATAGATATTACACAGCATTGTATAAGAAGATGTCTGATCCAAACTTAAAGTCTTCATCAAAACAATCCATGTTTCTTAACTTGCTGTTTAAAAGTATTAAAAAGGATACAGTTGATAGGAGAACAAAGGTAAAGTTAGCTGGAGTTGGTTTCACAAAAAACTTCTGACTAAGATTGATTGTATGTCATGAAGAATTCAGTATACTTACGATCAATCTTAGTCATAAGTTTTTTTGTGAAACCGACTACTGGTGTTTTGTATTTATAATATCTCTTTTTTTTTCAAATTAAATAATTCACTTAAACAAAGCCAAACATTGAAAATGTACACATGTAATTTAACGTAAATTGGCCTTATCTTTTTTATTTTATCTATGCTTTAAATTTTGGTTACTGCTTCGAAATACAGTTTATCATAGTTTCATCTTTATGGTTAAAGGTTACAGTCCAAGATCAGTTTTTAGATACTAAGTGACCTTCTACATATTTATTAGGGTTTAGTTAGAATTAATGCCAAATACATGCTTACAGTTGTATTGATCTTTTTTGTCAATAAGTATATAACCCATGAAGTTTTGAATTTACACATAATATTTTTTGATATTTTTTCTTTATTTTTAGGCTTTTATAAAGAGACTATTACAAATATGTTCCTCTCAGCCTGCCCAGTTTGTATGTGGGGCTCTAGTATTGTTAGGAGAACTTGTCAAATTAAAACCAGCCGTTATTGTTGGCAAGCATATGTCTGAGGTAGAGTATTTTCTGCTAGCTAGTTTTTAATCAATAATTATAAAACAAACCACATTTTAATATAAATGTAAGTAATAGCTTTAGACCAGGTTCTACATGTTTTATATAAAAAGGAAGCAAATTACAATGTGGGAATTCAAATATTAGAGTTAAAATTCAAAACTTAGTCATGAGCAGACAAAATATAAAATAAAATACACTGATGTTTGTTCTTATGTTATAAACTATGTCAAGAAATTTAAACTCAGAATAGATAAAATTCTTAACATAGTTCAGAATCTACAGTATGATAAGTATGTTCTCCAAATAGCATATGTCAAAATTGTGTGATAAAACTTTAAAGTGAATGGATATTCAACCAATCACAACAAATATTTTTTTCACTATGTACCAGTAGATTGAAAGTACACATAGTCTTTTAGATTTGAAAACCCCATATTCTTACATTTCTTTTAGGAATCTGATGATGATGAAGATGAACACTTTACAGATCTACCTAATCCTGACAGTGACAGTGGGACCAAGGAAAAGCAGTCACATACAACAGTTAAACAGAATCCATCATCATGGGATCATAAATCTAATGATAAAAGTAAGATTATTTGGAAAAAAGATGGTTGATGGTAGATGAGAATGACACAAAACTCTAGAAAAGATTGGAAAAAAATGTGTTTGAATTACTGCACTTTGTATCCACTACTCCATTTTGAATAGTGATTGTATTTCAGTAAAACCTTCAGAGAATTTTGAGGTACTAATAGCATTTTGAACCTCCAGTTTTTGCCTCACTAATGATAGTAGGGGCATACTTTTTTCTGGTCTGTATCTATCCATCCTGTATTAGGTTTAAGTTTTTGGTCAAAGCAATTTACCATGAAGTTATTACATCAACTTGAATCTTAGTACAAATGTTCATCATGATGTGAACTTTTTAAGTTATATGCCATATAAGGGTTTTGACCATGATTTCACAGTTTGCTGAATATAGAAATATTGTGTAAGCATGGCATGATGTCCTATGGACACAGATTTTTGTTTTCAAATGTATTTAAGAGTTTCTTGTAAAACATAGATAATTGGCCATACTTATGTCAATGGAGGGAGCTGGAGATACACAAGAGATAATTGGCCATACTTATGTCAAAGGAGGGGGAGCTGGAGATACACATTTGTGAGCTCAGTTTTGTTAATCATTTAATTTCTTAACAGGACTCTTATTGTTGAAAAAAAAGAATGACTACAAATCAATTTGCAAACTTTCTTGCAGATAAAACCAGTCATTACGATCCCCACCATAGAAACCCACTATACTGTAATGCTGAAAACGAGTGTATCTGGGAACTGAAGCAGTTAAAGAATCACTTTCATCCGACTGTATCATTGTTTGCATCTAACTTAATCAAGGTAACTAAATGTATAATCTATTTTCTAATGATATTAGCAATTTACAGTTTATCTCCCTTCTTGAATTCTGTTGACTAAAGCACTTTGACTTTAGATATGAATAATATTACTAAAGCGAAAAAGTTTGACTGGGTTTATGTCAAAACTCACATTTTTATTGATTCTAATGTTTTAATTATAGATATACCCAAGTTCAATTATTAGAATTTGGCATTTTGGAATTTTGTATTACTTATGAATCGTAAATGCACAAGTATAATTTTCAAAGGAGTTAGTTCAGTAAGGGTCATATTTGTCCAGTAATATAAAGTCCATTGTTTAAAGATAAAAAAAATTTCAAGTGGATGAAAAGACACACAAAAAAGTGAAATAGAACTTTTTTTGTGTAGCTTTTCTGAGAAAGCCTTAATATTTACAACAATTTGATGAAAATTGACAAAATTGTCTAGATTTCTATTAACTTAAGGCCTAAGAAACATAGAGCGCAGGCTTTCACAAGCTAAATATTCAAATCAGTTATGAAAAATGTAAACAAATTGTATAAAGATCTTTCTTGACGATGCGTGCGCTCTGTTTCCATTCCAAAAAACTAATGAAAATTCACTTGTTCTCTTTAACTATTGTGGAAAATCAATGTATGTGTGCTATTTGTGACGTCTTAAAAAGAATTAATACGTAAATTTTCAACTAAAACGGTATAATTTTTTTTAGTCAATGTTTAAACTAAAATTCATTGTAATATTTGTCAATAAATCCTAATTTGAAATTTTAGCTAGAAATAGGGGCCATTTAAGGGCCTTAACGAACCTGCTCCATTACAGTTTTAAGGTAAACGATTATGATGGTATTAGTATCTGAACATTTATATTGTAATACAGTTAAGGCTTTGGGTTATGGATGTTTTTGTTTGAATTATGTCACTACTACCAAATTTGATATATATTACAGGGAGAACCTGTCACATATACTGGTAACCCATTAGAAGATTTCACAACTATCAGATTCCTTGACAGATTTGTTTATAAAAATCCAAAGAAAAGAGATGCTCGTAAGTTATTTGTTATGTTTAATTTTTGGGGTTATTATACATGGGATAAAAACAAACAAATATCTAAAGCTCACCACATTAATGGACATTTAATTCCAGCATAGGTACAGATTAAGAAGGCTCCTTGAAGTCCAGTGCAAAAACTATAAATTAAAGAGACTGAAAATATGTTTTTACAAAAATGATACAAAGCAAATATAGCAAACACAGTAATAGAGTTTCTGATTACTGTCTTTTGACAATTCAATGTGACAGAATAGAATAATATTTGCTGTTATTCATAATATTTTCTTTTACCACACACCATATTATTTTAAGAGTGTATACGTTATATATTTTAGTACCTCAAACTTCCATGACTGTAACAAAACACAACAAATTGTCTGCTAAAGGCATAAAGAGTATACCAGTGAACAGTGAGAAATATCTGGAGAACGCAGAGGATAATATACCAGCAGAGGAGTTGTTCTACTACAGGTAAACGCTGTATACTAGGAAAAGGGACAGGTAAACACTGTACACTAGGAAAAGGGACAGGGAAACACTGTATACTAGGAAAAGGGACAGGGAAACACTGTACACTAGGAAAAGGGACAGGGATACACTGTACACTAGGAAAAGGGACAGGGAAACAGTACATGGAAGGATTAACACTTGAAGTAGTAGAGGCATAAATTTCTTTATTTGAAATAGTTTGGCAGCCACACACATTTAACATGGAGGCCACAATCTTTATCACAATAGAGCATGTCATGAATGATTCCATTCATTGTAAAATTTAGCTCTTCCATTGAAAGTTGCTTGATTTTAACAGCTTATAATAAACTCATACTACTTTTATTAACAGTTAATCATAATTTGGGGGGATTTCTTTTTGGTCAGTGTTGTACAGAAGGGGAGGTAATCTTTAAAAATGTAGATAAATCTAAGTGTGATTGTTTTTTATATGTGTAATTCAGGTACTTTTCACAGAAGGCAGCCAGGAATAAGAAGGATGAAGATGAAAACATGAGTGAAACTGAAAGTGTTAGTGATGGTGAATTTGATGCATATTTAGGTAAGTTGAAAACAATTTGGTGAAGGAATTAATTATATCCAACTTTTTTTTTAACACCCTAATATGATACATTGAACAACCTAAAGCTAATTTTTTTATGGATTAGAAAAAGTTCCTTTTGACACGAGAAATCACATTTTCATCATTTTCTCTAAAACTGCATGGCCAATTTGAACCAAAATTGACAGGAATTATGAATATTGACACATATACAATGTAGAAGGTCTTCAACTAAAAACAAACATGGCCACCAGAGGCAATCTTTGAATCTGATTGGGCTATTTCATAAATCTTTTTCTCCGAAATCATTAGGCTAACTGTTTTAAAATTTTATAGGATTGGTGATTGGGTGACCTCTACAAACTTGTCCTCCTTCACTGTAGATCAGATGGCATTGGTTGCACATACTTCCTATTGAAACTGTATGGAAAATCACATTTTCATCTTCTATACTGAACCATTAGGCCAGTATGAAATTTACTTGGAACTAATGATGTATAAAAGGACCCCCTATAAACTATCCTCATTTGGTTCCAATCAGATGGCAAAAATGGTCCTTTAAGGCATTCATTGATTTTAAATGGCCAATTTTCAAAAATCTTCTCTGAAACTACAAGAAGAAACGATTTGATAATTTGAAGCTCGAGCCAATATGGAATTTACAGACCCCAGTATATATCATATTAGGTCACAAGCACACTGTATAATGAATTTATCTTACAGACTATCTTAGTATGGGGAATTTAGACGTAGTTGTACAACCTGATATCACAATTTTAACACAACATTAGTGTCTCTACGACATTTTTTTTGTCTAAAAGCATGAAAATTTTTTAATTATGTATGTTTACAATGTATGTAAATTTAAGAACAACACCGTTTTTTTTTTTTTTAAAGGAATGTAACTCTTTTACTAACTGTGTATTTAAAATAAACCATGCTCACTGACAGTGTACTTAAGACAAAATATGCCTGCTGACCTAATATTAAATATACACAGTTCTCACATGTTTGCTCTTAACCAATGATATTATATTTCTAGAGGTGTTTTGGAGGTAAGATATTCAGTGTTCCAGGAAATCGGGTCATTGAAAATTTTCGCTTAAGCTTATATTTTTTTTTATCTATACTTTATCCATTGTTTTATTGATTGGATTAATTATTTCAGATGATTATGAGAAGAATCTAGAACCTGGTCATTTTGATGAAGATGATTATGATTTTGCAAGGTAAACAATAAGACGTTAAAAAAGAAAGTTATCAACTATTGTATTTATTTGTTTGATTGTGTATTTTGGGAAGCTATCTCATGGATATTTACTGTTGTTTCTCCGTTTGTTTGAAATTCCAGTTAAGACGATTTTACTGTTACAGTGGTCTAATTGGTTAAACTTTAAAACTTTTAAGAAAAAAACCAATACACTGATGCAAGTTTAATATCTTTATTTATGTACCAGTGTTGTTGTTTTTTTTTATTATTTCAAATCATATTTGCTTGAACAGTGAAGTGAGGAAGAAAATGAAAAAGAAAATAGCTGAAGATGTAGATGATGATTCTGATGATGAAGAAGAAGAAGAAGATGAAGAAGACTTTTCAGATGAGGAAGTAGATTTTGAGGGAGATGAAGATTTTGCAAATGCCTTTAAAGAGTATGATGAAGATATGATTGATGAAGAAAACATTGAATTTTCTGATGATGGTAAGCAAGTTTAATTAGGGCCCCGCCTAGTGGCGAGTCACCCTATATTGATCAGTCTGTCCGTCCGTAAAAAATTGTGTCCGCTCTATACCTAGAGAACCGTTATAATTTCATACTTTATACTTGACATGTATATTAACCAACATCAGAGGGTGTGTCATAATGTTTGTACAACTTCCTAGGTCAAAGCTCAAGGTAAAAAATTTTGGTTTCAGTTGACAACCCCATGTCCTATGGTACAGATCATGTCCGCTCTATATCTTGAGAACCGTTATGATTTCAAAGTTTATACTTGACATGTATATTATCCAACACTAGAGGGTGTGTCATAATGTATGAACAACTTCCTAGGTCAAAGGTCCGTCTGTCCGTCCCTAACAAATTGTGTCGGCTCTATATCTTGAGAACGGTTATGATTTCATATTTAATACTTGACATGTATATTAACCAACACCAGAGAGTGTGTCATAATGTATTGAAGGCATAATTCTAAAAATATGTGACATATAGCTATTGAGCAGACCTTAAACATAACATTATTCAAACATCAACCCATATATCTAGAAGTCACCTAGTGGTCAACAATGAATTCACACCATGCAGTCATATCACTATTATACTTTGAAAGTAAGTTCAGATATTTATCAGTTTACTTTAATTGCCAAATATAACACTTTTAACTAAAAAACATAGAATAAAATCACTCTCAGCACATAACGAGACTATGTAATAACTTAAAAAAGTGCTTCATATCAGCTTATCCATACAAATTTTTTACCACACGTTATTTACAGCGGGGCCCACAGAGATGGCTCCCATCTCAATGATGTCTACCGTAGTTATTTATGCTATATCTGAAAGTAATTTTCTTTTTTTTGGTATTACTTTTTTCAGTTATTTAACTTAATTGGGTTATTTTACATTCGAAAAAAATTAATTTCAAGGTAAAATCATCATTGTATGCTAAATATGCCAAAATTATGTATCCTATGGGCATAAAGTCTTAGATAATTATTCTTGTTGAGAAAGATTTTGATCCTAGACGTGAAAAAACTTAAATAAGTGTGCTGTTATCATAGTAAATCTAAACACAGACAAAACATATTTGTTTTAGCCTGCTTAATAATTTAGTATAAAAAAAAGAAATGTGGTATGATTGCAGATGAGACAACTATCCCACAGAGACAAAAGGACTATTAAATGTTTACTGTTTTTTTTGCTTAATATCTTTTTCTTACTTAAAAGTTATCTCATTAGAATATTAAAAAAAATATGAACAATCATTTATTGCTGTACAATATAAAATATTTAAAATCCTTCCAATATTTTCATACTTGTCTCGTGTGCATATTGATCGTTTTTGAGAGTATTTGGCGGGTTGGGGGTTGGGGGGGGGGGTCTATCTGTACTTTGTATCCATACATCTTCTTTAATCATTGACTGGATTTCATTGAAAATGACTATAGCCATACATAAACCAATGAGTGGGAAGCACTGACTATGAATTTGTGAGCTCTGCTTACAGTTTTTTACTGATATTACTATAATAACACAAAGTTTTTTATGTACTGAAAAATTAATTAGAAATGAAGTTCTGGTATATCAGTCAGGATTAATAAATGACAAAATGTAGGAAAGAAGATTTTTAATGAAGTTTTAACATATTTTTACAAATGTTTATTATTTTCTTTTTAGATGAACTGACAGGTCCAAGTGAAGGGAAGAAGAAAAAGAAACAAAAGAAAGATGACAAATCTTCACCCAAAAAGAAAAAGTATGTGAAACTTTTTCTGAGGTTTGATTGGATAAAGTGGTCATCTGTTTAATAAGAGCAGTGATATTTTCAAATCACAATACTGCTGAAATAATTTTTAAATGAAAGATTTAGATTTTTAAACACCTCATTTTCATATTGGAAATTATCAAAGCATTTTTCTTTTAAAATCTGGTGTTTTTATTATCGTCTCGAAACAGATATATTAACTAGTATCCAGACGAATTGGAATAAAATTGCTGACTTATAAAAATATGATGTATTATTTTGATGACAAGTTATTTCTGTTTGACTTTGGTATTCTGTACTAATGAAATAAAAAAAGTTACAGATAGCACAACAACAATACTTTATTTTAAGAGGCTTACACTGTTTTTAACAGAACTAATCTTCTTTTAGATCCTTAGCATAGACAAGCATGAACAAAAAAATGTTGAAAAACAAAAAGTCAAACATGTACATGGCATACATTAGTATAAAAGTCAAGTATAAAGGTACTTTGTTATTGGTGCATACCAATTTTGTTGATCGAGAAAAAATGTATTTTCATGGATGTTTGAATTTTTTATTTCCTAAGTCTCCAAAAAGGCTTACAGGTATACAAAATTTGTTCTTCGTTGAACATTTCAATTGAGGTTCATGTATAACCATGAAATCCACAAAAATTTTGTTCTAAGAATAATGATGAATCCACAGTCATATACTACTACCGGTACATGATTATTTCAGAATTTATTTGTAGTAAAAATCAATAATTTGAAGGAAGGTATCCACATTACTGTAAATTATGATTATAATATCACATTCAAAGGAATTCCCTTTAAATGGCCTTCGTCTTCAGTATGAAGTTTTGCTGATTTTCCATGCATTCTCCACAAAAGAATTCAATACATAACTCTCCTTGAAAATTTTTTTTTTAATGTGCCACTAAATTGTAAATGAACGAAACATGAAAAATCATGTGTCATAATATATAGGCTTTTTCATCTTTTGTCATAAAGAGGTTGATCCATAGAAGTATATGATGACATTTTTACATGTTGATATATATTCTGAATTTTCAGGAAAGATGATGGTGGTTTATTTGCTGCAGCAGAAGAGGTAAGATAAAATTCCTTTGTAAAACAGAGAGAATAAAATTTTAAATAACAAACTTTAATGTAAGACTTGATAAGAATATTTGAAACATTACAAATGTTATGTCATCCACTTTAACAATGCTAGTAAGTTTGCCAAGGAAACTCAAATTATAAAGGACATTCTCAAGAAAAATGCATTTAAGAAATAATTCTTTCATGCCATGCTCTATGCTCATTTTAACATGGGTAGGCATTATATTTGTTGATATCTTTATTCTGAGCGTTAGCGAGGTGTAAAATATTGACAAATATAATGCCTATCCATGTTAAAATGAGCATAGAGCATGGCATGATAGAATTATTTCGATTCTGATAGGAAAATTTAGAACTTTTGTATTACGAAGCGGACCTGTAATACACGTTTGAAAGGCAGCCATTTTGATTTGATGAACCAAAATCGTTATAGAAAATCAACAGTTTAACGATTAAAAAATGAACAGATACATTTGAACTTACTTTTAGAATGATTTTATTTAATTTCCAAGCGAGCAACACCAACACAAATGTCTATTTTGATCTCCGGTGTTGTTCAAATTACAAATGACGTTGCAATTTCAATTGTGATGTCAATCACGTGCAGCCCATGTTTTATTGTAATTAGAACATGGCTTTGTTTCAAAAGCTAAAGAAGAATGTCATATTAGAATCTATGATATATTTGCTGAACAGGACAACAAATATTTTGACCCAAAAGAAATTCAAACAATCAGAAATTTTGTGATGCATTTCTTTGATTTTATTTATAATTCTCTTTCAGTTTTCTCATTTAATGGATGATAATACAGATTTGAAAGGCGGTTTGATGATAGGTACTGATGCTGTGTCAAATAAAGACAATGCTCGTAAGTATCTTTGGATATTGAAATCCACTTCAATTATCAATTAATCTTTTGCAGAAAAATCATTTTCTATGTTGAATGTTAACAATATTTTGTTTAAATATTCAGTTCTTTGCTGGTTTTAAATCAGCTTAAGTTTCATCTAGTATTTTTTTAAGAATTACAACCAAGACAATTAGATGTATATATGCCTATAAAAAGTTTACCATGTAATAAGACAGATAATAAGGTATATCTGTATTTCTGTTCAGTCACATACTTAAGTAAATCTTATCTGGCAGATGTAATTAATACATTGAAATCAGTCTGAACCTAACCCTTTCTGGACTGAATGTGTTTTCCAGTTGACACAGAGGAATGTTAAATGATAGAATGGTTCAGTTCAGACAGGTTTACAGTTTATGCAAGGCTCAGTGAAACAAGTTTTCACTACTTTTTATTGTCATGTTTCAGATATTAAGCAACTTAAATGGGAAGCAGACAGGGACAGGAAGATGAGACAAACTCGACCCATTAAACGACATAAAAAACAGAAAACTGTTGCAAAGAAAAGAAAAAGATGAGAAAACTTTTTACAGGAACAAAACATTTCATTCATATGACTACTAAAGTTGGAAAGAGAGCAGTTTCTTGTAAAATTTATTATCTGAAACTTTACTATTAATAAATCAAAGAACCTGTTTATTTTAATTCATGTAATTAGAATATTTATTTTCTCACTGGCAAGATCCATTTGATTGACAATGTTACATTCTTTAATTGTACATTTACACAATTAAATACTAAATATCAGCACAATATCTACAAGAAGCATGTGACAGGAATAAACTAATTTAACTGGTACTCTACCATCCTCTTTATTTTATACCCCAAGCTACAAGTTAGTAGGGGTTATATATTTTTTTGTGATGTCTTCGGGTTAGATAAGAGTCAATTAACCAATCCGCTATTTGCGTGATGTCTAATCACTTTATATAACTTATCAACGTATTTTATAGGAGTAACGCGACGGGTGTCACATGTGGGGCAGGATCTGCTTACCCTTCTGGAGCACCTGAGATTACCCCAAATTTTGTGAGGATTGTGTTGCTCAGTCTTTAGTTTTCTATGTTGTGTTTTATGTACTATTGTTTGTCTGTTGGTCTTTTTCTTTTTTTGCCATGGTGTTGCCATGGAAAAACAAAGGATATGGGGTATCCATCCATGACAACTTTATTTTCAACTTATGAGTTTGAATGTCCCTTTGGTATCTTTTGCCTCTCTTTTACATTATTGTCAGTCAGTCAGTCAGTCAGTCAGTCAGTCAGTCAGTCAGTCAGTCTATCCATCCATCCATCCATCTGTCCTGTCCCTCTGTCAGTCAGTTTCAGGAAGCTAGCTCAAATGGGTAAAGATGCACAATTCATTTCAGGTAGGCCAAATCAGCACAAATGGTTAAGCCTAATCACTTGTTAAAAAGTGAAACATTTCCAATATCACTGCACAGAGATTTAAATGCTTCCACTGAAGCGGAGGGGGCATTAAGTTTTACCCTTGTTCGTCTGTACGTCAGTACATACGTCCGTCCGTAGGGTACGTCCCAAAGTTGGTTTCTGTTCTCTAACTTTAGTTAACCAAATATTATGAAACTTATACACAATGCTTATTACCACAAAACACAGATCAAGTTTGAATTTGGGTGGCGTCACTTTTACCGTTCTAGAGTTATGCCCTTTATAATTGGAAAAATTGCTGAATTTTTCGTTTCCGTTCTTTAACTTTAGTTTGCCTCAACCAAATGTTATGAAACTTATACACAATGCTTATAACCACAAAACACAGATCAAGTTCCAATTTTGGTGGTGTCACTTTTTCTGTTCTAGAGTTATGCCCCTCTACAAATGGAAAAATTGCTGAATTTTTCGTTTCCGTTCTCTTACTTTAGTTTGCCTCAACCAAATGTTATGAAACGTATACACAATGCTTATTACCACAAAACTCAGATCAAGTACAAATTTGGGTAGCGTCACTTTCACAGTTCTTGAGTTATATCCCTTTATAACATTATATGCAAGCAGGGGCATCATCTGTGTCCCATGGACACATTCCCCATTTATTTGTAAATGCACTACTTTTGAGTCCCTCAATTTGAGGCACATTAGGGATATTGACCCAAATACTTTATATTCGATTGCAACATTACATGGCAATACGGTCAAATTTAATGAGAGGAAGATCCTTATTAATCTATTAATATAGATCAAGGTCATAGTTATATATATAGATCACAATTGTGCTTAAAAGTGGTTTCCAGATGATAAAACAAGTACAGTATATTGAATTCCAACATTGCTTGGATAAGTGGTCTATAATAAGAAGAATATCCCTTCCGATTTTGAGGTCAAAATGTCAAAGGTCAAGGTCAAAGTTATTAAAGTGGCTTCTGGATGCTGAATCAAATATTACATATTTCATTGCAACCTGTCTTGGATGTATTGCCTTACATACTGAGAGGACTACACCTTTTGATTTTCATTTGACTAAGTCAAAGGTCAAGGTCATATAGTTAATAAAAACTGTTGACACAGAGATATTTCTCACCTGTATTAGTTTTGACAGAACGAATGTACAAGGAAAATGTTGAATCTAAAACACCAAACTTTTAGAATGTAAACTATGCAAAACATTAAAAATCAAATGAACCATGATTGAAGATGCAGGGCTGGCTTAAACTGACATAATCAGAAACTTTAACATGTAATCTGTGTGCAAAAGAGTCAAAGTTAATAGACTCTGAATGAGGGATCTCCATGGAAAAGAGATGTGCCAATGCTTATACGACTACTCATTGATTAACCATTAGTGGTTCCCCTCAAACTGACCTAATCATAAACTTTAACAAATTGTTCACGCCAGAAACAGCAAACCAAAGTCTCGCTTTTTGACTCAGTTGAGGGAAAACAACTTTGTGTAAGACAATATTACTGTTTGAAATCATACCTTAAAGTGAACAGAAAAAACTAAGCCATCAGGTCAATATAAGCTATTTCCCTTAATATTTTGAGGTGCAGTTTGTGGATCTTAAGGTTCTTTAAATTCTATCAGCCTGTGGAAGATGTAGTTTTAAATATACAGTTGAAATAAGCACTTTGTTCAGTTATTAAGGTATTAGATTTAGTAAAAGATGACGAAATTTAAACAGTCCCAAAGAGACCATTTACAAATACTTATTGATGGTTTCTTAACATACAGTGGAAAATAGTACATATATAAAAATAAAGAGATGAGGTATGATTGCCAATGAGACAACTATCCACCAAAGTTCAAATAAAGTGAATGTAAGCAATTATAGGCTACCGTATGGCCTTCAAATATGAGAATAAATAGCTTTGCCGAGCGCAGCTGGATACGACCGCAGAGGTCCAACCCTGAACAGTTGGGGCAAAAATGGACACAATATTCGTGCTTAATACAGGTCTTAATTTGGATTGCAATTAAATATTTGACACATAATAGGTTTCTGACACAGAATAACTGTAGTCAAAGAACTTAGAATTGGTTATATGATTTGAATTTATATTCAATTTTTTGCTTTTGTGCAATACACTATGTTTTTGCAAATTGATCCCACCTCCCCCCCCCCCCCCCCCCTTTTTTTTTGCTTTTGGGCAATACACTATGCTGTTGCGAATTGACCCCCCCCCCCCTTTTTTTTCTGCAAAAATCTTCTTTTCAATTTCTGAAATCTGAAATAAGAAAAAATTGTCCCCCCCCAATTTTTTTCACCCCCCCCCCCCTTTTTTTCCCCCCAAAAAAATTCTTTCCCTCAAGATATGGTCATAATCTCAATTCAAATTTCCAATGGAGTTTGCAACCATAATTACCCATTTAAATACATCATAAAAGTCTAAAAATAGAAAATGACATACATAATCATGACTAAAATTAATATTCCTTAATCAGCATTTTTAAATAGTAACTTCTAAAAATAAATTGACAGCTAATCACCTCAAGACAATACAACATTTTTTTATACATAATTTAAAAGCAGTGTAAGGGAGGTAATCCAAACATAACATTGTACTTTTTTTAATTGTCCATTAACCAGGAAAGTCTTGTTTTTCCCCTTTTTTTGCCCCTAATTCCTAAACGGTTTGAGCCATAACCCCCCAAAGCCAATCCTAACCATCCCTTTGTGGTATGGAAACTTGTGGTATAATTTCAGAGAGATCCATACACTGTTCCACAAGTTATTGTCTGGAAACTAGAAAAATGCTTATTTGGGCCCCTTTTTGGTCCCCAAAATCAATCCCAACCTTCCTTTTGTGGTTATAAACCTTGTGTTTAAATTTCATAGATTTCTATTTACATTTATTGAAGTTATTGTCCGGAAACCAAATGTCTTCGGACGACGCTGACGACGATGACGTGATACCAATATACGACTGCAAAATTTTTTGCTGTCGTATAAAAACCCATACCGTATAGTCGGCTATGCATATTCAGTACAATAATATGTTATTGAGATTAGTACTAGACTGACATGCTGAGTAATGTTTTAAGATGGTACCAAACACCTAGACTAAAATTAATTTGGCTCGTTTAATTTTCATAAAATTTTGACAAAATATTTACTTTGACCATTTGACAAAAATTTCAAAATTTTAAAAACCTTGAACCATACACTTTATTAGAAAAATTTCACTTGATATATAGCAGTTTGACAAACACTAATTTTGATCATTGAGAAGCTTAATATTTTCTTAACAATAGAATGTGATTAAAACGTTCAGCTGAGTTATCCTTGTAGTGTTATGTACCACCTTAACATGCTAGCTCACATGGTAACATTTTACATGAAGAAACATCATCCTACATGAACACCTTATTCTTAATACAAGGTGACCAGTCTTTACTCTTGTTCAAAAATCCTGCAAGCAAATAAGAATTTTAAAGTATATTGTTGACCCAGCCAGGTATTAAACCAATGACCTCTTGCAGATGAGATCATACGACCACGGGACCACCAAGGCTGTCCATATTAAAGTCAACCATAATGATAATATTACAATGTACCAGTAATGTGATGACATTGTTTGATGGTTAGACTTGACTAATGGTTCTCAAACAAGGAAAGAGAAATTAAAGGAAAAGATTATGAACTCTTAAATCAAACTACAAAATGTAAATATTTTTACTGTAACAGGTATTCATTATAAACATATGTATAAGTTTGAAAACAAGTTTGTCTCATTGGCACTCATACCACATCTTCTTATTCCTATCTAAACATATAACTGGTTTTCAAAAAAATATTTTTGAAGTTTTTTGTAATACAGGTAACAGAAACTATTCAGACCATTTTACAGTGCTACAATAAAAGAGAGACAAAATATATCAAAGGGACATACTGTTGAGAAAAGCCAAGTGAGAGTCAAGAATGAAACTTCTTTCCAAGTGTCCTGCAAATAAAAAAGTGTCACTTAGGCTTTAAGAAAATGAAAACATTTGTATAGTAACCATTTTACTCATCTTTCTGTAAAACCACATATTTAAACATACATGTATACACAGACTCTACTTATATAAAACAAAATCTATGATATCATTCTTTTAATCTCAAACATAACAATCTTAACGAGACAAAGCTAAGTACAATATTTTTGTAGTTCCTTTGTATAGTACATTTCTAGCCTGCTATTTGTGAATGG